GCCCAGGAGCCCGAACGCAGGGAACATGGTGCCGGAGCAGTCCACGGGTCGCTCGTACACACAGCGCATGGTGTCTGCGTCGTAGAAGAACACGCGAGCGGCGTCATAGTCCAGACAGACTCCGATCCTCTGCGGCATGGGCAGGACTCGGCTGCTGTGGTCCCCTGCGGCGCTGGCGGACGCTTTGGGGATGAAGAGCCGGCCCATGCCCACGGTGAGCAGCGTGAAGGGCTGAGAAACCTCGAAACAGGCGTCTTCGCTGCCGCTGTCGTGACCGCTGTCGTGGTCGTACCTGATGGGAAGCAAAATTTAATTAAAATCCTTTAACAAATATTAGCCAGAAACAGCTTGGTTACTCAACATACAGCAACCAGGATGTGTGTTAAAGCATCCACTCCAACGGACGATAATATTCAGCTTATTAGAAGCACGCTGCAAAGCTGTCGCTTTAAGGCTCGAGCTCTTTAAAGTCAAGTGGATTCTGATTGGCTGTCGATGTCTGGAAGAAATACTCTGAAAGTCATTCAATATTCATCCTCTGTGCCATTACAGTCGTGGTGTGAGAATGACGGAGTTTCTGCAGGATTTTTAAAATCTAATTTAAAGCTTTTTTTAAGCCTGGCACAAATAAAATTAAAACCATATGAGCAGAGTAGGGCAATGTCTATGGTAACATCATTAAACCATAAAATAAATGTAAAAAGCATGATTTACAGTTCAGATACAGGTTTTCACAAAAACAAGCCCTTAAACCATTTCTTTTTTTTTTTTTAAGAAAAGGGACGAGTCAAATGTAGGAATTATAATATCGTAATATAGTGTCTTAATGGTTTAGATTTTTGATAATGCATCAGCTTCTTGTCCATCCACCTGTTCTCTTGTACAACTGCGTGTTTGCTCTGAACGAACAGCAGACGGGCTTATTGAAAAACAGATGCTTTCTCTGACAGCAGGAGGTGCTTTAGGAACGGGAGAAACAGCTGTACAAAGAAAAACACTACTTTATCAGTCATTATACTTAAGCTAGATGAAATGAAGACTGTGTGTGTGTGTGTGAGAGCGAGAGAGAGAGTGTGTGTGAGAGCGAGAGTGAGTGAGTGTGTGAGAGAGTGAGAGAGCGAGAGTGAGAGAGCGAGAGAGAGTGAGTGTGTGAGAGAGAGTGTGTGAGTGTGAGAGAGAGAGTGTGTGTGAGAGAGAGAGTGTGTGTG